CATCTCATACGCCAACTTCAAGCTTTGGAGTTGTCCTCTCAACCTCCATATATCATTTCTCCTCTCTCATCCTCAGATCTTGTTGGTCACCATACACCAACTCTATCCCTCTTCTTCCATGTTGATCCATTTTCTAGCAAGGTTTTCAAAACTTAATCATTATTGGAGATTTGAGTATGTGACCGGGGTAACTCTCGGAACTTTCAGACAGCAAAAACAGACATTAAAAATGATTGATTGAGCAAGCAATGGCAAAAATTATAAATTTAATTTTCAGAGGCTGTTTTTTTTTTCAAATGTAACAGCACCAGAAAATAAATGACCCCTTTCACAAGTACCATTGAAACTCGGCCAAGCTAAGATATGCAAAAAGATACGCTAATTAGGGGAAGAAAAAAGGATCCCTTTCATGTCGGGATATAGATTAGGAAGAAAAGGACAAACAAGATGGCACTTCCCATATGGAAAAAAGCCCTTCGTGTCTCAATTTATAAAAGGGGAATTCAAAGTAGCGGCAAGAAGGTCCACATTTATTCGTTCTATCGAAAACTGAAACCACGACGGTCCAGCTTTAATTTGCGTAGCAGATAAAACTGAAACATCCATCGATTGTACTACTACTACAAGTTTGGTGGGCAGAGAGAGCACCTCTAATCAATTAATTTACATTTGGGCATTATATACATATATTTGTTTACGGCTGGGCGCACTATTACTATCATTAGTCAATCAGATAGATGCTCGATGTGGACAAATTTGCGAGAACGCTGCGAGTGAGATGGCTATCGTTCAGCTGAGAGAGCTCAAACAAACCTTGAGCAGGGACATCCCCACCTTGTGATGAGCTGGATAGAAAACTATTCGGATCAGCGACCAAGGTATCAATAGGAGACGGACACAAAGTGAGCTTTTGAGAATCAAACTGGGTTGGAGGACAACCACTCAAGGAATTGGCTCCAACTCTATACAAGCATGTAAATAAAAAAAGGAAGGTCAGTGCAGAAAGGACTAACAAATGACCAATGGATAAAAGACATCGGGCACAACCCCACAGTTTGGCTAGTCAAGGAGTACCTTGAGGTATTCAACCAAGTTTGGAGCAATGACACCACACCCTCGTGGAAGGTGTTGATGATACCATAACTTGGAGATGGACGAGTAATGGGAAATATAGTGCAAGGTTAGCTTATATAGCACAATTCAACGGAAGAATGAGCTCAACTGCAGCAAAACTAATCTGTAAGCAATGGGCTCCCTCCAAATGCAAAAACTTTACCTGGCTGTTGCTGCAAAATAGGATTTGGATAGCGGATCGGTTACATATCAGACAATGGCCAAACAATTATTTCTGTCAACTATGCTACAAGAATCTAGAATCAGCTCAACATCTCTTCAAGGATTGTCCTTTTGTGCAGCAGGTTTGGGAGAGGGTCTTAGGTAGGCTGAACTGCAACGAAATTAACCTGACACATGATGAAAATGAATCGCTGTTGAACTGGTGAATCGGGAATACATCTCAAGGTGGGAAAGACAAAGCCAAAGAAAAAAAAATCAATCCACATGCTGGTAGCATGGGAAATATTGTGTGAGCGGAACAGGCGAGTATTTCAAAATCAAGAAAAAAACCTTGCTGCAGCTACTAGACAAGATTCATGATGAAGTCAAACTATGGAGAATATGTGGAGCAACAAACACTGCGAGATTATCGGCCTAAGACTCTTTGATTGATTAGTGGTTTTCTCCCTCTTCTTTTTTTCCTCTTCTTTTGCTTTTTCTTTTCTTTTTCTTTTTATCTTCTTTCTCTCCTTCACCGTTGGTGATCATGTAAATAGTATATCCCCTACTTAATATAACACCAGCTGTGCTGGCTCGTTTTTTTTTTAAAAAAAGAATTAATTAGCAGAGCTAGCACTCGATCTTATATATCTTGATCGACGATCACCTTGCTCCACACCTCTCAATAGCTCTACATATATATAGTAAAGAACATTCCTTTCAGGATTAGTTGTATGCAAAATAAGAAACGTGTTATCGTATGATTAAATTAGTATTAATTATTAAAAGTTTGAAAGATTGATTTATTTGATTTTTTGAAGCACCTGTTATATATGAAGTTTTTCATAAAACACACTATTTAGCAATTTGAAAACATGCTAATCAAAAAGAGTAGCTAAGCTCAATTAGCTACTCCCTTAATTAATCCAAAAGTCTTAAGCATATTTTAACTTTTGGTTTTCTAAATAAAATTATAATTTTTGTAGTCTATGTTAATGTAGGATGAGTTTTTTTTTCCGCGAACGCTAATGTAGGATGAATTAATGTTTCCTTGATTTTAATGACAAAAGAGATATCTCCATCGATGGAGGGAGTATTTAGAACATGCCATTAGTTTTGACATGTTTACCGGGAAATTGAAGAGCAATGTCCCCAGATCGAATTCGAGTACTGGAGAACAACCAATATTTAGATAGCATTACAACTCCAAACAAATCTAGGACAATGGGCTTGGAATTTTAAACTAACTGTTGGACAGCATAGTTTGCATGGATATAGAGCACTAGTAACATTTGTTGAGAAAAAAAATAGTTAATACAAACAATTTATTTGAATTAATGATTCCTGGGGCAAAGATCAATTAAGGAGGTGGGTAAACTCTTAAGGGAGCTAACCAACTCAATAATCGTACGTATTTATATGCATAATAATCAATGGCAGGACCCGTCCGTCGGTCCGTGTTTATGCTAACAGAGACTTTACGGATTAATTTTTCATGGTAATTGAACTAATCCTATACAAACCTTATATAATTCTTAGTATGTTCCAATGAAGCCCTTGCCGGTTTAGCTAGGAACGACTTAAAGGTGCATATTGTTCTGCACGCTCCAATTTGTGATCCATGAGTCATACTCTCTTCTTTCTTATTATTGGACACAGCTAACTAATATAAATTTATCTATAAAAACATTAAATCATGATGTTTTGGTGAGCACACATAGAATAGCATCTAACGTACTATTGATAATACGACATCTTTTCAAATATCTATATCTTTTGAAAAGACACTATATATCAAAGATTTTATAAATAAAGTAGTACCTATTGGCAAATAAAAAGAAACTGAGGGAGAGTAAGTAAAAAATGTCGCAGTACAATTATGTTGTACCTAACAATAAGGCTACTGCTACAGTAGCATGGCACTATTCCGTGCATTAGATGAATCACAGCACGACTACAGGCACATATAACTTTTCCTCTAAAAACATGAGCGTTTCAGTGTAGCACCTGTGGTTTTCTGCGCTGGATGATCGCCAAACCTAGTGATTTCCCCTGAAGGCCTGAAGCTCTAAGACCTCGTTAATTTAGGAGGTCTAAAATAGGATGGGATTTTAGCCATTTCCTCGGCTCATCCCATTGCTCAAATTTAGCTATCAATGTTTTGAGAATAATCTACATTGAATAAGCTGGATTATTATAATAAGTTGATACAGAATAAGTTGTGAGTTATTTGTTTCTCTGGATTATTGAAGGCATCTAAGGGTAGTGGGTCTTTAGCCACTCAATAATCTAGAAAAAGCTCCTTCAGATGAGATTATTAGATTATACTAATCTGGTTCATAGATTATAATAATCTATTATAATAATCTATCATAATAATCTACTTATTTGTTTTAGCTTGCTCATTATAATCCAAATTATAATAATCCTAAACTGAATGAAACAGTACCTAACCATCCCTACATGCTTATGACTGGTTGGACGGAAAATACTCCCAGCCCTCACCAACTGACCCTGATCCCTGAGGGTGTGTTTGGATAATGAGAAATGAGGGGTGGGATTGGTATTGGGAAATAAATAAAGGGTTAGTATTAAATGGATGAGGGAGAATGAATGGTTAAGATTTAAAGAGGGGTGGGAAATCATTTCCCTTAGATATTTGCCAAACACTGCTTCATGGCTTAAGCCGAATGGCATTGATGAGCCAAAAGGGATTGCACCTTTTAAATAGTATGTGCACTTTCTTAACTTCTATTTTTCTCACTTTTTGCACGCACGTTATTAAGCTATTAAACAATGTGTGTTTCTAACATTTTTATAGAAAAGTTGCTTAAAAAAATTATATAATCTATTTTTTCTAATGCTTAATTAATCATATAATACATCACTCTGTTTTGCATGTCATGAAAATGTCTCAACTTTCTCAAACGAACACAGCGCTAGGCGGGAATAAGATTAGAAGATCATTCAGATGGAAACAGATATTCCATCCATGATCTGCAAACAGTAAGGGCTGTGTTTAGATTTAGGGGTGTAAAGTTTTGGCGTGTCACATGGAATATACGGATAAACATTTGAAGTATTAAATGTAGTCTAATAACAATCGGTCAGTAAACCACAAGATGAATTTATTAAGCCATATTAATCCGTCATTAGCAAATGTTCACTGTAGCATCACATTGTCAAATCATGACGTAATTAGGTTTAAAAGATTTGTCTCACAATTTACACACAATCTGTGTAATTAGTTATTTTTTTGTCTAATTTAATACTCTATTCATGTGTCCAAACATTCGGGGCCTGTTTAGTTACTAAAAAGTTTTTCCAAAAAATCACATCGAATCTTTGGACACATGCATGGAGCATTAAATATAGATTTTTAAAAAAACTAATTGCACAGTTGGGAGGAAAATCGCGAGACGAATCTTTTGAGCCTAATTAGTCCATGATTAGCCATAAGTGTTACAGTAACACAAATGTGCTAATGAAGGATTAATTAGGCTCAACAGATTCGTCTCGCGGTTATGAAATTAGTTTTTTTTATCCTTGTCCGAAAACTCCTTCCGACATCCGGTCAAACGTCCGATATGACACCCAAAAAAATTTTATTTTCGAACTAAACAAGCCCAAAATTTTGCTAGGGGGTCTAAAGAGGGCCTACATAAAAACATAGCAGGCCGGCCGTCTACTGTTTCATGAAAAAAAAACTGGGAACAGAACAATGATAAGTTAACATATGAACCTTGATTTTGATTGATCTCTATTTCATTTGCATCAACTAATCTTTGGAACACAAAATTACGCCAAAACAATTGCATCAAATATGACCGTCGTCGTGGTGCGTACGAAAATCACACACTGTTTTGATTTGATGAACCATTTCCTCGGAATTGAATAGCACATTTCCGTTTGGGACAATATTTATCCAGCTGCTAGATTTCCCAATTTCCTTTCTTTTTTTTATCTATGAACGAGCGCCACGTGTCAGCCGCCGGAGCAGCAGGCGGCGCACCGGACGAGGCCGTTCTCGTTGCACGCCGTGCAGACGCGGAAGCCGCCGGTCTTCTCGCTGTACCGCCGGTGGCTGCCGTCGCACGTGCCGCAGGGCACGAACCGCGTCCCGCCGCACGACGCGCACGGCGTGGCCGCCGCCCGCGCCGCGCCGGCCACCACGCGGTGGAGCTCCCCGCTCTCGTGGAGGAGGCGCACCTCGTCGGCGTCGCCCACGAGGCGGCCCCCGACGAACAGCTGCGGCAGCGCCGGCCGGTCCCGGCGCATGAGCGCGCGGAGCTCGGCGAGGTAGGCGGCGTCCATGGACACGTCCCGCTCGTCGACGGCGACGCGGAGCCCCCGCAGGATGGCGCGCACGTCGCGGCAGTCCTCGAACGTGCCTCGCACGGCGCGGAGGGAGGTGAAGTAGAGCACCACGCGCCGCTCGCCCGCCACCGCCGCGGCGGCCGCCTCCGCCGCGACGGCGAACGACTTGCACGCCCGGAGCTTGGTCGACGACCTCACGCGGTGCAGGACGTTCCGGGAGCCCGGCCCGGGGGGCGCGGGCGCCGCGTCGTCGTCGTCGAGGACGGAGCCGATGCCCTGGTGGTCGGCCTTACCGCCGCCGCCGCCGCCGCCGCCGCCGCTGCTGGGCGGCGACGCCACGCACGAGGGGGAGAAGGACGGGGACTGCGTGAGCCGGCCGGTGGCCCGGCCGCGGCGGACCCACGGCGACCACATCGCGCCGGCGGCGAGCGATCGACGGTGACTCGGTGAGGGAGGAGTGGATCGGAGGAGGGGAGAGGAGAGGAGTCCGCGGTGCGCGCGCGCGCGCGATGGATTTGGCGCGAAATTAGTTGGTCGCCCTGCCCCCTCTGGCTTGCTAATTTTAACCATGCGTTTTAACTGTCTCCGCTGCTTATTTGTGGCGCTGGATTTGCATCGGGTTAGTTTCCTTTGATCTCTTCTCCTGGTGCTGACTTTTTTTTGGGGCCAACTCATAGAGCGTGAGGATGACAAGTGGGCCCATGGATGTGATCGACAGAATTTTTATGTGGACACTTTTTTTTTCGCAAGATACTATCTTGCAACCATTAAGGCAACAAGGCCTTGTTCGGTTACGCCCGGATTTAATCCGGACTGGGAATAACAAGTATAATAAGAAATTTACATAGATACAATAAGAGACCGGGATTTATTTCGGACCGGGAACCAATTTACTCATGATATAGACAATAAGAAACCGGGAATCAATCCACTAGTCAAGAGGTGTGGAACTAACCCAGATGTTTTGTTGTCCCTATGATGAGTAAATTAGTTTCCGGCCCGGAATAAATCCCGGTCTCTCATTGCATCTATCACAAATTTGTTACTATACTTCTCATTCCTGGCCGGGATTGAATCCAGATGTAACCGAAGAAGGCCTAAGGGTGTTTAGATCCAGGGGTGTAAAGTTTTGGCGTGTCACATCAGGTATTATATAGTGTTGCACTCGCATGGGGTGTTCGGGCACTAATAAAAAGCTAATTACAGAATCGTCCGTAAACCGTGAGACAAATTTATTAAGTCTAATTAATCCATCATTAGCAAATGTTTACTGTAGCATCACATTGCCAAATCATGGAGCAATTATGCTTAAAAAATTTGTCTCGCAAATTAATCGCAATATGTACAATTAGTTATTTTTAGCCTATATTTAGTACTTCATACAGATGTTTGAACGTTTGATCTGACAGGGCGAAAAATTTTAGGGTGGGATTTAAACAGGCCTAATTCTCGTTCATGTATATGTTCATAACGGATAAAATTAGAATATTATCAAAGCATTTTGCAGTGCAAATCTATAGAAGTGTATTTGGCGTGAAAAACTATTTTGCTTACTCTTAGAAGCAAAATGGCTCTTCCATAGTAGATAGGAGTGCCTTTTTCAAAAAAATAGTAGAGAGGAGTACACTTCTTTAAATTTTGGAACAAAAATATGTTTCTATATTTTTTTAAAAGAATATTTTTTTAAAAGAATATCCATAATGGAACTAAGTCGTGGAGAAACTTAAATCGTGAAGACCAGCAAAACGTGTAGGCCCAGCTAAAAATTCTCTTCTCTTCGGCCCAGTAGGCGCAACTAATGTACTGAGAAGCTTCCGTAGCTTGGACCAAAAGCCCATAAAAGTGTTAGGCCTGAATCGTTATCGCGGCTTAAGCCACAGTGGGCCGCCTTGCCGAATTATAGTGGGACCGGATTAAGCCACACGATATCGTAGCGCGCGGCCTTCTTCAAATCGGAGTCGGACTCCGCATCGCCTCTGCCCAGCCCAGCCCAGCTGACGATAAATAGCCACGTCACCCGCACTCCATTCCCTCCCTTTCTCTCCCGCCCAATTCAATCACCACCATGGCTTTTTCCTCTACTCCCCACCTTCGTCACTCTTGCTTCTGCTTCCGCCGCTGTCATCTTCGATGTTTCTCTCACCGCAGCTCCCCGCTGCTCCATGCCGCTCTCCCGTCCTCACCATCGTCGTTCCAGCTGGCCTGGCTGATCGTGAGGTGGGCTCTGCCGACGCCGGGGTGGTGCAAGCTGAACTTCGACGGCTCCGTGTTCCACGACGGGTCTCGGCGAGCGAGCATCGGTGGCATCATCCGTGGCTTCGACTGCGGCGGTGCCTCGCCTTCACCGAGACCACGGAGCACTGGACGGTTGGTGTGGTGGAGGGCCGTGCGATGATCCGGGGCCTGAGACTCGCACTGGCGTGCTTCGTCGAGCGGATCGTCGTCGAGGGCGATGACCTGGTTCTACGCAGATGAGGATCCTTTTAATTTCCTTCCTCCCTTAAAGCTGAATCTCACCATTTGAGAAGCTATGGAATCGTCGACCCCCTTACCAAGTAGACTATGAAGTCACTTTCATTTTTTGGTTGTGTATGCTATGTGTTTGTGCCCCGTCATCTACCAAGTACTTCCTCCGTATTTTAATGTATAACGCCGTTGACTTTTTGACAAACGTTTGACCTTTCGTTTTATTCAAAAAATTTATGTAATTATAATTTATTTTATTGTGACTTGATTTATCATCAAATGTTCTTTAAGCATGACATAAGTATTTTTATATTTGCATAGAATTTTTGAATAAGACGAGTGGTCAAACGTTGGTTTAAAAATCAACGGCGTCATACATTAAAATATGGAGGGAGTAAATTCGACAACAAAGCTATCCGATGTATATTTGTGGCCGCCATGCACGAGGAGATCCTCTCCTTCCTCCGCCGTTTCACCGAGTTCGAGGTGAGACACATGTGGAGATTATGGATACCCCATATCTACACGGCATGTATAGTCCGACTGGGTATGGGGTGCCATGTATAGATAGAATATCTTTAAGATGACTCGGGTTAAATTCCAAACTTGTATGTCAAGGAAATACCTGAGATCCTAGTCGGTTATGGTTGTATTTTATCTGTAATTACATATTCCGTTAGGATATGGACTGCATTTTGTAATACGGACTCCTTCCCCTATATAAGGAGGGGTCCGGGTGCCTCTAGGGGCACGATTTTCACCCAGATCATACGATCAATAATACACTCGGCGGATCAATCCCCGGACAGGAGTAGGGTATTACTTCTTGATTAAGAAGGCCTGAACCTGTATAAAATTCCTTGTCTCTAAACCCATCCACTTTTCCATCTTGATAGCCACCCCCTTTTAGTATTGCCGAAATCTTGTTTCGAAAATTGGCACGCCAGGTAGGGGCTGCGTCAAGTTCTTCGCCAACCAGTGCGATGGGTTTCATTTCCGGCATCGACGACTTCGTCTTCCCTCCCGGGCAGGCGTTCTGATTCGGCAGCCTCGACTTCATCACCAACGACTTCGGCAAGATTTCTCTCCTCGACTCGGATTCAAACCAGTCGGGAAGAGATCAGATCTCCGCCCCGTTCGGTATCCCGAACTCGGCCGAGGTCTACCCCAAGATCATATCCACCGAGTTGGCTTCAAACCTCTCGGACAAGGTTCAATCTACTTCAACACGACCCGATCAAGATGATGGGGCCTATCCGCCGATCTTGATGAAACTCCCCGACGATTTGGCTGCTGTCTTCACCACAAGGGCGTCTTCTCCCCATAGGCCTAGGCGGGATCCGGCTTCAGCCCCGGCCCGGCCTAGCTCCATGGAAGTCGGCGTCATACTCCAGCCTCTCGGCACGGTTTCGACGGAACAACTGGACGGCTACCTCAGCTCCCCCGGCGTCGACTTGCAACCAACCGAGATCGTGGAGTACGATGACTTCGGCTACCGCTACGACTACCGCAACCTCGACGACTTCAATGAAGGCTTTGAAGACAACTACACGCCTCTCTACTTCGGCATTTTCATGGCTGACAACGAGACAGAAGAACAGCGTAAAGCCCGAGAAGCAGAAGAACTACGTGTACAACAGGAAGCCGAACGACGCCGACTGGAAGAGAAACGCCAAGCACAAGAGCGAGAACGGCTGCAGCGTGAGCAACAGGAACGTGAACGGGCTGCAAAGGAGGCTCAGGACCGGCGACGACGGGCCTTGGATGCCGGGCGATGAGCACAAGAACTTATTGGGAAGCAAGACGTCGAGGGAACTGCGGTTTTTTGCGCCTCTCAACAGGACGCGGTTGCAGCGATCACCCTCCTCGACACCCTCCTCAAGGAAGACACGCTCAATCAAGCCAATCACGTCGTCAACATCTTGAACCAGACCAAGACCATGATCGCCGCCTCGGTCCCGATTAACTCTGCAAGCGTCCGCACGCCGACTGGCAGCCGAGTTCCTCATCTTCGATCCCAAGACTACCACCAACCAAGCCTTAGCGTCGCAGGTGCGGGATCTAGTCGCAGGAGCAAGGGTCACGACGAGCGATCTGTCCACTCACCCCCCGAGCGACACAGGGAGCGTCGAGTTGAACGACCACGCTCCCCACCTTGCAGGCGCCCCGTCGATCTTCGCGATACTATCAACCAGCGCCACGCGACAAGAGGCTACGCTCCCCACCATTCACCAGATCGCTACGATGACGACGTGGATGGAGTCGCTGCCTTCACAAGCGACCTGCGTCGAGTGGATTGGCCAGCCGGCTTCAAGCCGACTGGAATCGAGAAGTATGAAGGCACCACTAACCCGGAGTCTTGGCTCACCGCCTACGGTCTTGCAATCCGCGCAGCGGGAGGAGACAGCAAAGCCATGGCGAATTATTTGCCTGTGGCCCTAGCGGATTCTGCCCAGTCCTGGCTTCACGGGTTACCCCGTGGCACAATCGGATCATGGGCGGAACTTCGTGACCACTTCATCGCCAACTTCCAGGGTACCTTTGAACGCCCTGGTACACAGTTTGATCTCTACAACATCATTCAGAAGTCTGGAGAATCCCTTCGAGATTACATCCGACGCTTTTCCGAGCAACGCAACAAGATCTCTGACATCACTGACAATGTCATCATCGCCGCCTTCACCAAGGGCATTCGCCACGAAGACCTAGTCGGCAAGTTCGGGCGCAAGCCTCCCAAGACAGTTAAGCAGATGTTCGAAAAAGCCAACGAGTATGCCAAAGCCGAAGATGCCATTACCACATCCAAGCAGTCAGGCACCACTTGGAAGCCGAAGAAAGATACGCCGACTATAGGGGGGAGTGGAAGTACCAATCACAAGGATCGCAAGCGTAAGCCCAAGGAACTTGTGGCAAATACTACACCATCCTCCCGACAACGTTCGCGCATCAACACTTTTGACAAGATCATGAACTCCCAATGTCCGCATCATCCCAATTCCAATCACGCGGCCAAAGATTGCTTTGTCTACAAACAGTTTGTAGAACAATACGCCAAGAACGCACGCAAAACCTCTGACGGAGATCAAAGCACGTCAA